TATAGACACTTACATAACTTTGGTTAGTTTTGAATAAATGGTTGCCATTTATATGCATGATCGGGTAAATATATGTATGTTTATAAGTAGGTGTTTGTATGTAAATAATAATAAAGCTTCGGCAATCACATAGTTAATACCATACAAAGATTGATTATAGTGCTGGGTTGCATCTCAAGCGATAGGATACGAGTAGCTGTTTAATGACAAATCTATGTCAAGTTTATGATAATGGTCGTGGACAATGGGTGCATCAAATGGAGCATTCTGAGTGTGAGGTACAATACACAAATGTGCCATTCATTCTTTCCCAGTCTTACGTCTTTGGCATTAGAAATTCCTTGTGTGATGTGGCACTGACTTTTTGTTCGTTAGTCCTTCGATCGAAGGTCACATTTGGCACTGGCGAGATGGAACTATCGCTGCGTTCATGATCATCCGCATCGCTAAGCTCGTTAATTGGTTTAAAATGAGTGCCATTCGAAGCGTCTTTATAAAAATCTAATAACATACATATGTATGTATATGTTTGAGAGTTTTTAGATAAAAAAGAATTATCCCAATTTTTACCTTTTATTGCGCACACAATTTCATAGGTAACGTGAGGTGGATAGTCTTTAAGCAAATCAAGCGCTGTGTTACCTGCACCGTCAGTAGCATTTGGATTGATACCAGCTTGCAATAGAACATTGACCACAGCTTTTTTGCCGCAAAGTGCTGCCTCGTGCAGAGCAGTTCCCGAATTCGTCATAATGTTAACGTCCACTCCAGCGGCTAGTAGCGCTTCTACTACTTTTTTGTGTCCATTACGACNAGCTTTTTTGCCGCAAAGTGCTGCCTCGTGCAGAGCAGTTCCCGAATTCGTCATAATGTTAACGTCCACTCCAGCGGCTAGTAGCGCTTCTACCACTTTTTTGTGTCCATTACGACTAGCTAAATGCAAACATGTGTGAGTAAAGAGATGTGTTGATGGCGAAATGGTGTATGGGGTGCACTCAGCTACCGGGCTGGAGGGTGTATTACTACCAGACGAGCGATAAGGAGCCAAAAGTTCTGGATGTGTACGTATTAGTGTTTGAACTGCCTGCAACCGTCCGAATTGCGCTGCTAGATCTAGTGCAGTTTGAAAACTATTGTTGCGGACAGTGGGATCCGCGCCGTAGGCAAGCAAAATGGCTAAAACAGTGTTGTGGCCGTGTTGTGCGGCACAATGCAGTGGAGTTTCATTATCAATAGTCTGCAAATGAAATCAGAATAAAATTTAGAAGAAAATTAGGAAAGTTTTGTTTCAAACCTGCGCATTTGGATTAGCTGCTTTGGGCGTTTGCAGTAATAGTTGTTTAACTATCTCATCATGACCTGCCCATGCTGCTAAATACAATGGAGTTGAGCCTCTTATGTCTGGCATGTCAGGTACAGCATTATGAGCCAATAAGATACGCACGATGTTGATGTGGCCATTCAGACAGGCGTGATGTAGTGGGGTATATCCATTAACATCTTGACTGTTTATACATGGACTGCGACGAAAGCTTTTGACGAAAATTAAAAAGTTAGTTGTATATACATATGTAAATACATGCTTATTTNTGTTGATGTGGCCATTCAGACAGGCGTGATGTAGTGGGGTATATCCATTAACATCTTGACTGTTTATACATGGACTGCGACGAAAGCTTTTGACGAAAATTAAAAAGTTAGTTGTATGTACATATGTAAATACATGCTTATTTCAATTCGGTATAGATGTAACAACCTTGAGAAAGGCCCACTGCTGCGTTTTGTAATCTGCTCAAGAATTTTGCCGACTACAGCAATATTTCCAATGCGTGCTGCTTCCAGCAGATCTTGATCTTTGCCCATTGCAACTTGCAGCGCAGTTGGTGGATACTTCAAAATGCTATAACGATTACTAGAAAAAAGAAATAAACAAAACAAAGTTAGTGAAAAGCATGACTAATCGGGCACACGTTCTGATTACATCTGTAAATTATCTTGTTGAGCAATGCTATTAGATACATTGGTTCAACACAGATTTCTGTAGATTCACCTAACTCTACGTTACACTTAAGACGACTTTATCTTGATTTTGAAGATACAATTTAGAAATAACCAAATAACGGACTTCTTGCAATTAGTCAATTATCAACAATTGTTGCTAATTGTTATCTACGCCAACGAAACATTTGTTTACTTTATGCTCAAGGTCTCTACACCCACTCAATGCCACGAAATGTGTATGTCTTCATTGAATAGTCGAACAGCTTGAAACCTTTACAATCGTTTGAAATTACCAATTTGGCACACAAAATCGTATTCGTCATAACTTTCGCACGTATTTCCATTTATTATAAATATAAATTTCTCTGCCCAAAAACCACAAATGCAATTTTCTGCCCGTTCTATTTTCCAAGTTGTCCGGGAGTTGCCGGACTATTAAATGTTGACAATTGAATTATTAACACGGTCCGCTGAGATAGTTTTGTAAACTTAATTTGAATCGAATTGTCTCGGGGAAAGGTTACATAATGATTCAGTTCAATAGCGGGGTTTACATAATCATAATCATAATGTTGGATTTGACAAGAGCTATTTAATGTTAAAAAGGCTTTGAAATATTTAACTTTCCAAAAAGTTCATGAGACTGAAATTAATTTCACAAAAATTGTTTTGTGTGGATTTCTTTAGTGGTGGCAACACATTACAAAATGACTTCATTGAGTGAACTCAGCAACTCATTTAAAGAGCTGCCAACACGGTTGCCACTTGTTAAAAAAAATAAGACACCAAAATCTCACGATATAGAGAGACAGATGTGGCGCATTCAGCAGTACCGCTACTTTGGTTTGGTGACTTTGACAGCATCAGCTGTTCGTGTTACGTCAGCATAGAATTGTCCGCGATAAGTTTGTTCTCGTACGAATAGTTACTAATAATTATTACTAGTTTTTGCTAATGAACAGTTTTAACTATAAAAAATGCAGAAACAATTTGCTAAGAACTCGCGTTACTAATTTCTACCAGCTCGGTGTTTCATTATTCTTCTTTATTTGGCTATTTCTGGGCATAATATTAAATTTTCTTCGATCTTCAATTTTCTGTTTGAAAAGTAGATGAAGAGACAACTACGATTTGTTTGCAAATGGCGGCTGCGTCTTTTTTTGTCTCCTCCATCTCTATTCGTTGCGAACGTGACGTCATCACTCACAAGAATACGCAATATTGTGTTCTATCATTCTTGACCAAATCTGAAGAAAAACAGCCAAATTGAAAAAATAACCACATATTTTTTGTTTAACAAACAAAACAAGATAATACAAGACATTGATAGAAGATAAGAGATAATAATATAATTTTACACAAACAAAATACGTGGGGTAAAAGTTCCAAGCACAGAGTTAAGCGAAGCGCACATTGGCGCGATTCTGTCGTTGCGAATCCGCA